TTCTTAGGATGCGTAACGCTTCTCCTTTTGCGGTTACTGCCTCATATATAATAGGAAGCGAAACCTCTATATTACAGGGGTGAGTAAGAATTTGGTCAGAATTCTTTTGTTACCATCAGTCATTCACTCATTCGACGAACTATGTGGCTTCGCCTCCCATAGAAGACAAAAACTAACGCAACATCAGTGGACCCTTCAATCTGCCCTTTCGTCGTCATGTTTAAACTGAGCGATAAGGCCTCAGCCTACCACGTAATTTTATCCGAATGAATATATTTTTTGCCAACCATACCGAACCACTTTTTAAGACTTTGTTTTAACATGGAAAGGCAAGTTCCAAAATCCGAAGACAATAAACTGTAAGGTTTTTTTTTTCGCAATGGATGGTCTCACATGCATGATATGTTGTCTCGATTAGGGATCTAAACCGCTATATTAGAATAACTAGCTTGAAGTTTTACTGACTTGGGCATGATGCGTTAATTTGAAATAAGAAAGATTAAACGAGAGGAAATACCTTTGGAAGGTGGTAAGATATACTCTTAGACCATCTCTCAGCGAAACATCATCCTGTTTTGAAAGTGAAACAGACCTTCACTATCTGTGACTACTTTCATTGTATAAGTGGGGTCCTTATATTTTAATTAGTAATGTATAGAACAGCATACGTAGTTCTTCGTCATTACCAGACATCTCTTGTCAATTTATATATTATCAGTTTTACATTTTTTGCGTCGATTAATATTTGCATTTGTCAAAACTAGGGACGCAGTAGTTTTTCCTGTTTACATTTTCAAAAGAGTAAAAAGGTAAAAAAAAAAAAAAAAAAAAAAAAAAAAAAAAACACCCTTAATCGAGAATACTCAGTTTCACTCAATCTTGGGTTTGACATAAATGGATTAGATAAATTATAAGGAAAACCTTGTTTTGTTTTCTTTTTCTTTGACTTACTAAAACTTCTTTTACCTTTACAAGGTACTGTGCAGGTGCTTAAGATACCCACGAAATTCATCTCAGTAATTACTACTACAGGGGCTTCGTACCGACTATCCTTAAAACAAACAATATATCAAAAGCCGTTTATGACTGGTAACTTTGTATTTTGTGAGCATTATGGCCCTTTCTATTGTGGTATGTAAAGGGTTGTAAGACCCCGCAGCTCGGAGAAAATTCATTTTCGATAATGATATTTTTCAATTTCAATATAAGTTATAATTAATATGCGCGCATTGCACGCCTATTATTATATGAAAGAAGAGAAAATTTACATAGAGACAATATTTCTAATAGGCATCATAAAATAATATAAAGCTTTTCTCTTCGCTTGATAGTCAATTATACCTAGTAGTGGTACACTTGGGCTGAATATCAGGGTCGATCGCTTGGTCTCGCCATGCGTTGTATTTTGGCGAAACCAAAATAAAAGAACTAGGCACATTTCTGTTTAATCAAAGAAAAGGCCTTTGTTGTTGCAACTGTTCTAAAGCTGATGAACCGCCATTTCCGATCTTCGAAACAAATCAGACGGTAAAGCCCTAGCCATGATTAACTGAGGAAAGGATCGTTTAACTGAACGAATAAGAATCTCAGTGTTCAAATAATAAACTTCAAATTTTATTCTACGCATAAACTCTTGACCAGGCTTCTCCATAAAACCATGAGAGCTATTCCAGTTAACTCAAAATCTTTGCGGAAATCATAGGCTGGAGACTTATTAAGAATCAAAACAAAAAAACTACTATATCTACTGGACGACAGGATTCTTCAGAGTAATATGGATAGCATTAGCTTATGTTAAAGTGAGAATTTTTCATCACTCGAAGGTAAAATTTGAATTCACGTGCCTGGCCTTTTCAAGTTAGAAAAAAAGGAGGGTCCCCGACAGGTTTTTTGGGATCCGGAATCGGGCTTATTTGAAGGCCGGGATCCGGGAGTTTAGAGTAAGAAAGCAGCGAGATGCGCAATTGTTATTATGAACGGGACACGGGAAGCGGCGATTTATAGCGGTGGGATTCGGGAAATTGTCACTTAAACGAACCATGAACCGTGAACCGTGAAGTCCGTTGACGAGAAATGATCTTCGTCCAAATAAGTCCAGCCTCCTAAGCAGCCGTTTTTAGGAGATTGCGTTTCACTTCTCTCCACAAACGCGAAATTGAAACGCGGTCCCCTAAAATCACTTGCGTGGGAGGCTAAAATTAGCCGCACAAAGGTTTGTTTTGACAGTCTTATCTGTGCTTGTGCCAGGTACACGGTCTTTGCCCTGCGCTGTTGTTTTCATTGTGACCTCTTGCTGATATCTAGACATTCTGAGACTGCATATAATTATGGTGACACTCCACCCTTGGAACGAGAGTCTGATTTTATCCTCAGAAAAGATTCCGCTTCGGAAGAAGTATTCACTTAATGTCATTGAAGTGTTCACTTCAACAGCAGAATTTTTTCGCCTAAATCTTCTTTATTACCTTGTAATGGAACTATGGGATTGCTGTCACCTTTTGTTGTCTTGTGCAATTGTTGACGCGACACTCTAAGACCTTTCTTATACTTTCCTTTTTTTCCGCACTCAGTCCGCCGTTTTCTANGTTACTGCCTCATATATAATAGGAAGCGAAACCTCTATATTACAGGGGTGAGTAAGAATTTGGTCAGAATTCTTTTGTTACCATCAGTCATTCACTCATTCGACGAACTATGTGGCTTCGCCTCCCATAGAAGACAAAAACTAACGCAACATCAGTGGACCCTTCAATCTGCCCTTTCGTCGTCATGTTTAAACTGAGCGATAAGGCCTCAGCCTACCACGTAATTTTATCCGAATGAATATATTTTTTGCCAACCATACCGAACCACTTTTTAAGACTTTGTTTTAACATGGAAAGGCAAGTTCCAAAATCCGAAGACAATAAACTGTAAGGTTTTTTTTTTCGCAATGGATGGTCTCACATGCATGATATGTTGTCTCGATTAGGGATCTAAACCGCTATATTAGAATAACTAGCTTGAAGTTATACTGACTTGGGCATGATGTGTTAATTTGAAATATAAAAGATTAAACGAGAGGAAATACCTTTGGAAGGTGGTAAGATATACTCTTAGACCATCTCTCAGCGAAACATCATCCTGTTTTGAAAGTGAAACAGACCTTCACCATCTGTGACTACTTTTATTGTATGGGCGGGGTCGCTATATTTTAATTAGAAATGTATAGAACAGCATAAGTACTTCTTCGTCATTACCAGACATCTCTTGTCAATTTATATATTATCAGTTTTACATTTTTTGCGTCGATTAATTTTTGCATTTGTCAAAACTAGGGACGCAGTAGTTTTTCCTGTTTACATTTGCAAAAGAGTAAAAAGGTAAAAAAAAAAAACATCCTTACTCGAGAAAACTCAGTTTCACTCAATCTTGGGTTTGGCATAAATGAATTAGATAAACTATAAGGAAAACCTTGTTTTGTTTTCTTTTTCTTTGACTGACTAAAACTTCTTTTTCCTTTACAAGGTACTGTGCAGGTGCTTAAGATACCCACGAAATTCATCTCAGTAATTGCTACTACAGGGGCTTCGTACCGAGGAAATACCTTTTGGAAGGTGGTAAGATATACTACTAGATCATCTTTCGACGACACATCATCCTGTTTTGAAAGTGAAACAGACCATATGGGACTACTTTCATTGTATGAGTGGGTCGTTATATTTTAATTAGAAATTTATAAAACAGCATACCTAGCTCTACGTCATTACTAGACAATTATTGTCAAAACTAGGAACGCAGTAGTTTTTCCTGTTTACACTTGCAAAGAGGTAAAAAGGTAAAAAAAAAAAAAAGAAGACCCTTCATCGAGAAAACTCAGTTTCACTCATTCTTGGGTTTAACATAAATGGATTAGATAAGTTATAACGAGAAACCTCTTTTGAGTTTTCTTTTTCTTTGAACAAGGTGCTGTCCATCCAATTACTAGTACTGGGGTTTCGTACGGACTATCCTTAAAAGAAACAATTTATCAAAAGCCGTTTATGACTGATAACTTTGTATTTTGTGAGCATTATGGCCTTTTCTATCGCGGTATGTAAAGGGTTGTAAGACCCCGCAGCTCGGAGAAAATTCAGTTTCGATAATGATATTTTTCAATTTCAATATAAGGCATAATTAATATGCGCGCATTGCACGCCTATTAAAGAAGAGAAAATTTACATAGAGACAATATTTCTAAATGGCATCATAAAATAATAGGAAGCTTTTCTCTTCGCATGATAGTCAATTATACCTAGTAGTGGTACACTTGGGCTGAATATCAGGGTCGATCGCTTGGTCTCACCATGCGTTGTATTTTAGCGAAACCAAAATAAAAGAACCAGGCACATTTCTGTTTAATCAAAGAAAAGGCCTGAGTAGTTGCAACTGTTCTAAAGCTGATTAACCGCCATTTCCGATCTTCGAAACAAATCAGACGGTAAAACCCAAGCCATGATTAACTGATGAAAGGATTGTTTAACTGAACGAATAAGAATCTCAGTGTTCACATAATAAACTTCAAATTTTATTCTACGCATAAACTCTTGACCAGGCTTCTCCATAAAATCGTGAGAGCTATTCGAGCTAACTCAAAATCTTTGCGGAAATCATAGGCTGGAGACTTATTAAGAATCAAAACAAAAAACTACTATATCTACTGGACGACAGGATTCTTCATAGTAATTCTCATAGCTTCATTTTAAGCTGCCAAATTAAGACAAAACCGAACGTCGATTTTAGCATTGCAAATGACCGTTGAAAAAATTCTCGCTTAGTTTTCGAGTTTTTTTTCTGCTCCGATAAAGTTTTTGGCATAAATCAATTGATATTCTAGATTTGAATATTTACATAGATATAGTTTTAGAAAGGATTTTTTAGTTCAGTCGTTGATCCATACTTGTCGCCATTCAAGGCTAGAGTGGCTTCTACTTTATTGAATAACTGCACTTCATAGCGAGAAAGAAGTAACCATTTTGAATTAGCTTCTTTTTGGAATAACAAAAATACAGGAAAGATAAAAAAAGCCAAAGTATATGTCAAGAAAACAATTTATCTCATAATTTTTTGTGGTAAATACCTTTTTTCACTTCCTGTCACTCTACTTCCTGGGTCTAACAACTCAATCGCGAGGATACAACATCTGCAGGGTGGTTACTAGTGTTAAGAGTTTATGTCAAAGATTTTGTCTTTCGAATGTTTTGTACTCATTGTTACTGTACATAACGTGATAAGGAGACACTTCTGTTGATTATTAATAGTTTTGTTTTCAGCGGGCTTTTTTATTGCTCCTCAGTTTAGAGCAAAATTTTGCAGACAGGATTATCATGGGCTGCGCATTTTTGACCATATCTCTGCAGGTTTGAGATCATTTCGATGGCTTAATGTCAATCAAAGACTTATGGTCAATGATGCAGTTATAATGCATAAGTGTCTGCAAGGACTGTCGGATAAATTTTCAACTCGAGCTACTATTCACAACAGGCAGACAAGATATAGAACAGCCTCAATATTCCACATTGTAGAATCACTGCTGGCCAGCGCGCTTTTTATTACCGTGGCATGAAAATATGGAATAACTTAAGCAAATAAAGAGACATTTAATGAAAGAAATGATTTCTGACATGAACTAGGTTAGATGATAATAATTGTAAATAGTTATCATTTAGTTATCCTCGTAGATAGTTTTTACATAGTTTCTATCAGTTAGTGATATAATTAATTTATTCACTTATCTATTTAATTTTCTTTTTAATATTGAGTTTGAAAAGCTCTTTCTAGGGATGCTCAACAAAGTGTGTGTATGTATGTACATGCTTTATGTGTTGCTAGCAGCTGTTGCTTGTATATTTGTTGATCAAGTATATATTCTTTCGAATGAAAACTCTAAAGCGATTTCGAGAAGAGAGTGTAACCGAGAGTGCTTTGACAGAAGAAATGTTACATACACTTGTTAATATGGGAAGCAAGATATATATATATATATATATATATATATATATATATATATATATAAATAAAAGAAAGTTCATCTGGAGAGGGCTGAAAAAATCACACATGTAGTTGATCACTTTCGGGTTTCGTCTCAGTGTTAGAGGCATCACTTTCATATTCCTCATTCAGATCCCAATAAGGAGCGTCCCTCGTCATCATTTGTTCCATTCTTGTTACCAGCTGTTCAAATGATGGCCTCTCCTCAGGGTCTGCCCTCCAACAGTCTAACATCAACTCGTATCTGATAAGATATAAAATATTCCAGTGTAAATGGGGGCATTGGCGCTATACGGAAGTTCTCGTCTTATTTATTGTTGGTCCATACACTGAATACTAAAATACATGAAGGAGAATGCAGGAATGACAAAGTTCACCTTGGGCTGTAAACCAAAGTACAATGTAAACGGCTTTCACCGAATACGCTTAATTTTGTTGAGAAACATATCTTATCAATTATTTTGGTCACCTCAATGTGACAACGACGAAATTGTCTTAAAATAATTAACTTGGTACTTAGCTTTTTTCTTTTATGGTTGGTATGATAAGTATACATATGATTCACTAGGCTAAAATAATGAAGAACTTTCCTGAAATCACTGTTTTCCTGAAACACACTTGTTTCCAGGTAGATTTTCTTATCGTACACCATCTTTTCTGGCATTGATCTCAATTCCTTCGTCACAATTTGTCAGTCTACTTATAAAAGTATTTCGCTAAATGAAATTATCTAGATTACTACTATAATGGATGCTAAAATAAATGTCTTAGTAAGACCATACTAACACCTTCAAATTAAAAGGGATTTGTTCAGTTGAATAGGCCAAAAAAAAGCTTTAGTCGAGAAAGTTTCGTGGGGATTGAGCTATCATTAAGGGAATAAAACAATTGAAGATTATTCGTTAAACTTACAGCGCATCAGAGCAAATGGCTGGTTTGTCCATTCGGTATCCTGACTTAAGAAGTTTGAACAGCTCTCTATTACTTATTCCAGGGTATGGGATGTGACCTTGAATGCAGGTTAAATTACAAGACGGAAAAAAAAGCCATCACAAATATTACATTCATAACAACTTCAAAAAGATTTGAGCTAATGGAGGATGTAAAATAACATCTCAGCTGTCAGATCCTTTATTCGTTTGAAGTCCATAGATTTGATTTAAAAATGATCTCAATGGCACACTCCAGCGACTCTCAGTTCAAAAGTTATTGATTTAACCACTGTTTCTTTTCATAACTTTTTTTTCAATCGGTCAAAATACAAACAAGGAGTAAAAATACCCCGTAACACTACACACTAAAACGTTTAATAAGGTATTTATCATCCCACTGTTTTATTTTACATGTATTTCTTATAGGGCGGGAAAAGCGAAGCAGATAGAGAAGCGGAGCCCGTGTGGCCAACCGGTTTACGGGTTTGACCAACCGCCCAAAATTGCGTGATATTTATGCTCGATTAGCGCGTTTTTTTTAACTCTACTCGACGCAGTCGGATAATTACTTACCCATTGTGCACAATTCCCACAAAAGTACACCAAAAGACCACCTACCGAGGAAAAAAGAAGAAAACTGATGATCAGTGTTACAACGAATTTGGGGCCAGCGGTCCGTCCACGTGGTGGGGTTCAGTCCCCTCCCGTCAACGTATATATTGTAGTGTTCGCGCGTAAAAGCTTCTTTATGTTACGTAGTTTGGTGTTGTTTTCTTTGGCTGCGTCTCGCGTTATTTTATGATCCAAACCGTCAGGTGTGTCTTATGTTTTCATTTCGCCGCATTTATATCTTTTATTATTTTGTTTATGCCATTTAATTTCTGTAGTTAGACTTAGTGTAATTTAATTTTGTTATAGAAACCACTGGTCGAGGAATAAATGTTTATGGTTGGGATAGCCATTGAGCAATGTTACCGGTGCGTTCGCTACAATCAGCTTTTTAAAAGTTGCTTGAATCCCGATAGCTCGAATCTTCGCTAACTCGAACCTCGCGCTAACTCGAACCAAAATCGATTTGGATTTCCGTCACTTATTGATTGAAATTTTACCCTCGATTAATCGAGCTCTCGATAACTCGAACCTCCGGCTAACTCGAAGCAATTTTCTTGCCCTCTCAGTTCATTCTTTAAATATATGTATATGTATAGCCTCGATATCTCGAGCTACCTCAAAGCACGTCTGCTAATATGTGACAAATCAAAACAAACAGCGTACTGCAGTCCAAAACATTTACATTACGTTGTGATTTCTTCAATGATTTAGTGCATCTTTTTCACTCGACTTCTCTTTGACTAAACGTGATTAATGTGTATACTGTATGAGTAGCAAAAAACAGAAAGCACCGTTTTCCATTGTTTCTGGTGCTTTGTTTTCAACCCCCAATAACTTGAATCTTTTTCAGTTTTCCTTGAAGGTTCGAGTTTTTGAGATTCGACTGTAGTTAACAAGCCTGGTACCCCTTCATGTCATGGTTTTGGTTCAAGGGTTCCTGGTTGTACAGAATATGCAAATTATCACGATGTCGAACTGTACGCCAATTATATGTCGGACTGAGGTCGAGTAGGAAAGTTGTTCCCCTGATAGGGGCCCTGTGAACTTTAAGTACTCACACATCGCTTTTAGAAGTGTATTTGCCGCTGACTAGTGACTCAAGTGACATCCATTTGATTGGCAGTTTCTTCGTGTTCTTTAATTCATATATGTCCCCATATGTGTGACGTAGTAGGCCAAAGTCAGCAATCTTCACAGCTCTGTCTTCACCAAGAAGAATGTTACGCGCGGCCAGATCCCGATGAACAAATCCCTTACCAGCCAAGTACTTCTATTCAAAAAAGAAGCACACAAAGTCCTTACGAGCTAAGTTCCATCTACCCTTTCTTTTCTTTTACTGTTTCGCATTGCGGCCAAGGAGAACATCAATACACTAATGGTAGCTCAATTCATGCAGTCAGAATCAAATTGGCTGTATCAGATTAAAATTGGTATAATGTTACGACAGCATGTACAATTAATCATCTGACGATTTTTTCGATTTCAGAGCTGTTTAAAAGTTATTTTCCGTGATTATAATATAATTGTTTGTGTATCAAGAATCAAACGTTTATCTAAATTCTTACCCTTTTTCATTCACTTTGCCCCAGTTCATAGCAAATTTTTAAAGATAGCATTCGGGTCTCGAAGCTAGGATCATAGGGAAGCACAGTCATTCCTACAGTGCTGGAAAGTGCCCGATCGTGACATTTATTTCGTTGATTTTAAGAACTTACCATTCCCTTTGCTATCTGCCATGCAAAACAAAGTACATCTTCAACGGTGAAGTCAACTGCCTGCGCGCCATCACCGTCTGTTCCTTGTTGTCGCTCCATGTTCTCCTGGGGCTGCGGCAAGGAACGTGCACTTTTAAATGAAATGCTGATAGCTGCCTCTTCATCAATCGATGAATTCACTCCCTCTTTCCCATTGTCTTCATTTCTGTCCTCATTTTCTGCCATCTTGCTGTTCAAGTTGTCTCCGCTTCCACTACTAAGCCGAAAATCAGCGGTAGAATCTCCCAAACTAGTATTTGCACTTGCAGTGGGCAACGTCACATCCATGTGACTCAGTTGACCGAGTTTATCGGACTGTTGGCTCTGTGTTATTTTCTCTCCTTGGAGCCTTAGATGAAAATCAGTTTGCGGAATTCTGATTGGAAGTACTTCAGTATCGTTCCTTTTCTCATCTCTAAATGTCAGTTCTTCCAAAGTGACTAAACTGTCTGACATGACAATGAAGTCTTGTTTTTCGGTAACTTCCTCGAATTCCTGGACAGTCGTGAGTTTCTCTTCAGTATCGTGAAAGCCTTCGTCCTCTGACTTATCAGATGAGGCAGCTTCATTTGAACTCGCAGTACTGTCTGATAATTCGTCCATGGATTCAAAAATTACACCATCAATGCCGTTTTTGCATTTCACCTGAAATCAAAAAGAGAAAACGTTGGAGCAATTTCACTTGACAATTTTGGGAACAAAAGAGTTGAAAAATATGTTAAACCAATTTGAATTGTTAAAGTGAGACCCACCGCATAGCGTCTTGGAAACTGTGTTAAGGGTAAAACAAAGTGAAATGCTTCATTAGCATCTGCTCAAAACCCAAATGGTATTTCTACTTGGTACCACCCTTTTGTAGACTTACAAATTATGTCACCTTTCTGACTTTTTTCGGACGCTATGTATGCTTGGCGATGGACCAAAGGTTTTTCAAGGGATTTTAAAGGTGCAAAACAGTTTTACTTGTTGTCTTTTGTTCCTCAGCCATTGAAGAAGATCTCCATGTGGAACATATTCCAGGATTAGCATGATGGGTTCTGATCTGTTCCAGAAGCCAATCATGCTTAGTACATTCTTGTGAGTACCAACTCGCTGCATAAACGAAATTTCTCTGACAAACTGTTCTTGCCCATCCTCACCAGCTCTTTCTGAAAGGAATATGATAAAACAGAGCAAAATTAAGTCGTCATTTTGAATTAATGAAGCTTGCATTTGCCCAATTGCGATGGAGTAATGCCTGGTCACAGTCATCTCACTACGGGGATCAGAATGATATGACAGTGACGGGAGAGTTATCGTTATAAATTATTGCATAATGGCTGGAGGCTCACACGCTCGACTCCATTTTCGAAGAAACTTCCACAACAATTTTGACAGGATACTTCGTCTTCGAATGATCCACTGGGGAGATAAAATTTAAGTAGTTGACGAATGGATTTTTGTGTGATCTGGCTGGCGTGAACGGTCACGATGATCACAAGCGTCGAGGGCCTCTGAACAAAATACGTTTGCAAATTGTTGAATGCTGAAACAGGGATGGTCCACGAGAAGAAAGCCCAGCACGTGTAGGAGAAAAAGCTGTCATATTTTGAGAGACGGTTTTTTGTGATTAGCCTTGTGTAAGTATATTTATAACATAACCAAAGTAAAGCGCGCGCTCTGATTGGTCAATTTAGCGTCCCCCATTTGCCCATGGGTGTACGCTGCTGACGTGAGCAAATGCAAAGACTATTTTTCCNTCCTGAAACACGTCAAGTAACAACCGTAATCAAAAATTAATTAACAAATGGTAAACACCACAGCGTACACTATTGAGTTATGAATGCACGCGGGAGGTTGCTAAGCACGAAAGAAGCGTAAGAGTCGCTCGAGGCGATAGCCGAGAGCGACTCTAGCTTCTTGAGTTATTAGCAACCTCCCGCGTGCATTCATAACTCAATAGTGTACGCTGTGGTGTTTACCATTTGTTAATTAATTTTTGATTACGGTTGTTACTTGACGTGTTTCAGGAATAGCTTTAGATAATTTTATCGTTCGACGGTTTTCTTGTCCCAAGTAAAGGATTAAATAAAATAGATCATATATCTATGAAATGCTGAATCACTAACCTTTTCATTGTGATCTCTTCAAGTGACGCGCAGAAGCAAAAAAGTGAATATATCAATATTTCCTTACTATGTAAGAGTTTCACAGCGACCACTCTCCCTTTGTTTATATCCACCCTTTCCTCTTTAGGCTTGAAAAATACTTCAACCTTCGGCATTTCTTTTAGGATTCCTTTGTGAACTTTTCCAAAGGCGCCTCGACCCAGCTCTTCCATAATTGTTACACGCTCCGGGGGAATCTCTCCTAACAGCAGGGGAACGATGTTTGACGTCGATCTAATAAAATGTTGAAGAGTCTTTTCTCCCTTGGTCATGAAGCATTAAGGAATACATAATTTGTGAAAGAGCGCGTTCTATGAAATGCATTTTAAACAATATATGTAGACGATTTCGTGTCTAGCTTCATCGAATACCTTAAGTAGATGATACAGGGGAAAGACACCAGCTCACTTTGGTAGTAATGCTTTGGAATACAACAGTTAGCAGCATTTTACATATTAGAGCTGAGTTAGCTAACACATTTCCAGAATAAAATATTGTACAACCTTCTTGTCTTGTGGTCTCGAGTTTTTCTCTTTTTTCTCCTTCGCCTGAAGCATAGAATTCCAACAATCAAGAGAATAAGGAACCCGCATCCTACAGGTACAGCAAAGCTGAGGGTTCGCCGGAGAGAATCATCATGAGTCAACAAACATCAGTTTTTATTCGCCATTCATTTGAGGCATAACTTTCTCCCAGTTCATTCCAGGCAGTCACTTTCAAAATGCATTCAGAGTTACACTTGAGCGAAGTAAGATTCATTGAAGTAGAACCCACAGGAACATTAATATGGTTCCGGTACTCATCTTCACTTGTAGATTGCACATCTCTGTAATATACTTTATACATGGTCAGCGGACAGCCGTTGTCTTGTGAAGAACTCCACTTAAGGTTCACATCACATCCAGACACCTGAACTCCTTTGCTTTTTACAATTGGAGGAGACGGTTTATCTGAAGCAATAACGACATAGAGAGGTTTTTCCTGGGAGCATTTATAAAACGCAGTGGCCATTCAAACCTGACCCATAAGCCGATATATATTTTCTGATGGTAATTGAGTCTTCTGGGAGTGTGTGGCTATCCCGAAATTCCTTGACCTTGAGGTCAACCATTGCTGTTGGAACTTTATCCATTCAACGTCAAATTAACGGTGAAGAATCAGTTGCTAAGTAGTTTACGGAAGTCAAGAAAACATCATTCTAACACTTGCATGAATATTTTCAATATCAGAAAGAAAAAAACCATTTACGACAAAACAGGTCAGTGGTTAGTTAGTTTACGTTTAACTGAAGAATTCTCGGAGGGTTTTGTACACCTTGTCACAAAGGGATCATTTCGTGACTGTCTCTAAAAGAGAAGCTCGTCAGAACAGCAAAAATAAGCCAGTGTGTGGATTTTGTCTTTTTTCGACCTTTGCTAAAACAAGTTTTCCATGAGATACCAGCATATTCGACGCTGCGGAGCTTTAAGTTCGAACAACAATGATTGGTTAAAATATTTTACACTACAAACGCCAACCCAAAAGAATCATGTACGCATTGGAGAGTAATCAGAAGTCGGCGTGCGGCCATACGTATGGTCGTTGCGTTCGTAGAAAGATAAGGCGACTAAGGAAACCGCCTAAGAGTTTTCTTGAGCCCTTGCTCATGAATTCCGAATATTTCGAATTCAGCTGGCTCCTTCGCCAAACCACGTATAAGCGAAAGTAGCTATTCGTGGTACGTACTTTTAAAACAACTAAATAACGTGTATCCCCATTATGTGTAACCTTCGAAGACAAAGCTACAAAAGCAGGCGTAGTCAATGAACTGTTGAAATACTGGTTAGCTAAAAACACAAATGATATTTCATTGAAAAACAATTCATTTTTGCGAGTTCTTTTTGCTAAAAACTGTTGTCACCTCCATACGTTTTAACTCTCCACAATCGGCTATGGTTTAGTAATGCTGTAAGTGGTGTCTCTGCTCTAGAATTCCAGGCTGTTACAACTATTTCATGCGCCGCTCGGCAACCAAGATGAAGATTATAACTCGTCTTATATCCCGATACGTTCACTGCTTTCCAATGACTTTTAGCCTCTGAAATGATTTCTCTATGGTATACAGTGAAGAGAGAAGCAGTACATGGCTTCCAACGGACCACCACAAAACTTCCTTTCACTTCGCTAGTTTTGTTGAAAATGACTGGGTACCCTTGGAGAAACAAAATTGAAATGAGAGATAAAAAACAACAACAACAGCAAAACAAAAACAATACAAGAAAACAAAGGGAGTAGGTAGATCTCGAGTTGTGGGTTACAAGGGATTGGTCGGAAAACGCTATAATGAGAAAGAAGCCTAAGAGAGTCCGGCATACCATACTACAGTGTTTTAAAGCTCATAGAATCGGATAGACCACCAGTGGAGTAGTTCCTGCTGACAACTGGTATTTTTAAAATTTCTCACAATCACTTGTGCTTTCCTCTTGTGCGAGGCGATGCTTGTTTCTTAATTTGTTATAATTGTTTGTTTCTGCCTCTAGCCTGATGATTTTCCAGCCAGTGCCAAACAACTCCAAATAATTTCAGAAAAAATATAGCTAGTGAAATACTGCCGCAGTGTACCTGTCATGGATTTCACCTGCCAGGACTCTGAGCGGTTACTTGCTCCCACATCGTTCCATGCAGACACTTGAAATTCATATTCTGTGTCACAGTCAAGTGGTAAGCTACTGGAGCTCAATTCATTAGTTCCGGATGATGCATTGATATGATGCCATACGCTTTCTTTGTTTTCTGACTTGATGGCTTTGTAGTACACGGTGTACATAGTTATTGGACAGCCATTAGCTTTAGGAGGATTCCATTTGATTGAAGAGTTAGAAAATGATATTTCCTTCTCTTTGTTAACCACAACATGAGGTAAAGGTGCTCCTGTGGAGAAGATAACTACGACTTAAGTTCATGATATAATGTGACTATTTGACTTTGACGCTTTGGGAGAACAAGTTTTCGTTGAATTATAATACATCGCGTTTTTTTGTAATTTCTCAAGATAAAAAAATAATTCTGCGGAGATCGCAAGTTACCGAGGTTTAAAAAGTTCTCGGTTGGATATCAATTTGGAATTACTAAACACCTCTGTAATTAGTAAACACCATGTCGCAGTACCTAGATGGTAGTGTGGAAAGGAAATCAGAACGAGGAAAAATAAACCAGACACCAGCAGAGCTTGGCTTTTTTATTCTTATGAGAGTAACATGTTTCAAAATCTTTATTCCGCTCAGTCGACGACAATTTCACGGAAAGAATGAATATATATTAAAAAAATTAATATGTAAATTGAACGAAAAAACGATTGTTTGAAAAATAAATGAATTTCTTTGAAAAATAAAATTACTAAGATGTCATTTACCAAAAATACCAATCTGATCACAGTTACTGGTGAATTCTACAAAGAAAATTCAGCTCACGCTTGACATTTGGCAGGTATAGTCCGTTTTTATTAAGTGTTAAACTCAAAATGCAAAATCTAAAACGTTCAAAGCGAAAGAGTGACAAACCTGCAGGTATTTTTGTTCCATACACTTCTACTCTGAGAGCTTTATGCACATGATAGTCAACTGGCTGAACCCGAATGATTCGTGCCCTTGCCACTTCAATGAGAACTTGCTTTACTATTTCTTTATTGTGCGAATTTCCTCGGAATATCTGTGGAAAAAATAGTCAGTCAGTAATCAAAGCTTTCCCCCCTCAAACCTTGATTAAAAGTTCATTGATGTATGCCAAATTTGAACCATGTATAGAGATCTTCTCCATTAGCTTAGAGTAGTTTCAATTTGATTCTTACTTCTCCGGTTGAAATTGACTTATGGTTACCTTCAGGTATGTGCAAGATAACCAACAAACAAATATCACCGCATCCTAAACTGATCTATGTACAAACAGGTAACAAAAACTATATATTTTCCTTTTCGCTGATGGTTGAAAAAAATTCTTAGCGCGGGTTTCCTTGTCATCAAACCTTCTCAGTGCTGTTCTCCTTGTAGATGTTCCAATTTTCGAGGAACAAATCCAACTTATAGCTTTTGGTCCATTTGTCGGCTTTTCGATTTCCTTGAGTAGCTACAGCGTAAATGAAGAACACGTCTTCCAGGTCAATTTCCAGGTAATCATCAGAATCGTAGTCATTTCTGGGTCGCCAGGCGCCAGTGCTACTCCGAAGTCGTGCTTTATAAGGTTCATTGCCCATACGAGACGATGAGGCTGAGAAACTTTTTTCTGAGAAGATTCTAGAGCTGGCCACCCCAAGAGCTTGAGTCTGACACACTTCAGAAGAAAGAGAGAAAAAGCAGATTAAAAAGAACATCGTAAATGATAGCACAGTCACCTTTCTATACCGGTCAGTTACTTATACTATGAAAAAGCTGTTGTGGAGAGGTTCCATCGTATTACAGGGAGGTAACCGGTCAAGTCGCACGAGGGTCATCTTGCCCGAAATCATGTCGCCCGAAACCGAGTCAGGTCACCTAAAAGTTTTAGTCCGATCGCCCGAAATCCTGTCGGGCGACATGAATCTGGTTTCGGGCGACATATTGTTGACTTTGAATGCTTTCCTTTCCATGGAAAAAATTTCTATTACCTTCAATTGTCTCTATTGTAAATCTGTTGCTTTGAACAATTTCACTTCGTTTCTCGTTTGTAGGTAAAAAAAAAAAAGAATCAGCTCTACGCTGGAGCCGTTTGAAATCGAGCTTGCCTCTTTTTGTTGTTCTTCTTTACACTCGTTTGTCGGCCTTTAATTTATTCAGAGAAACGACAACATACGACGATTCCACAGAAAAAATCTTACAAATAACGAGTAATCAGTGTTCAACCTCAACTTCAACCTCATATTTACAACAATTGCTTACCATTGTCTGTTTGTCTCTCAGAATAAACCTGCACTTCGCATAAGGAAAGTGTTCTGTTAGCGCCTGAATCTTCAATGAAAACAAAATTTCCAAGAAGTCTTGGAAGACAATGTATGTGAAGTAGTTCTCGAATGGTTTGAAATCTTTGGGAAGTATGCTGTCCTCCGCAGCGCAAGTTTGAACTGCCTCTAATAAGATTGTCATAACCCGTTGAACATGAACAGAGGACAATAATGTAACAGAACCTGCGATCGGCCGAGCTTTGCCTTTCTCAATTCTTCTTCTCTTTCTTTATTTTGCTGCTACATCTGTGAAGGGACCCATTTGAGACGGTTCTCACGGGAATTAAACTAAAGATAGCTTAATTTTATTTCGTGATTCCCTGCACTCACCAACCCAGACGTGAACTCCTTCCGTGCGATTTTTGTATGTTACCATGACCTTGGCCACAACCTGTGTTGCTCCCAAGTCCACTCTCCACCAGGGGTCCTGCTGGGACTGAGTTGAAGAACAGGTTGGAATATGTCCATCTACTGCTTTGTCAGCCGTATTGTTTGTAAGTGTAGAAGACTGATAAGCAGGCTGATTCAAGGCGAGATCTATCAGAAGAAAAAATCTCATTGTAAGATTTTGCATGTCTATTTGCTTACGAAGACCTTTCAAATAATCTCATAATTCAAACCAAATAATTCAATAATTAAATAGCACTGCTACCAAGATCTAGGTGATTCCTGAAGAGGGAAATGTCACAAAAATATCATGACGCTGCACTCTAAGTCGCGATTTCAATAAATTTTGGACACTGTAACTTGAATAGAGATATGCTTGGTTCCCTTTGCCCTTCCTCTCTCTCCCATATTTATTTCTGTCCTGTTAAGGTGCAACTTACAAACCAGTATTACAGTTGGCAGGGAAGGCAACATGTGTTTAATCAAATTTGTCCGAGGGTGTGCTCTGAGCACTGAAGATGACAAACGTTGAACGAAAGCAGTTAAACAGCTCTTAAAAATCTCAACAACCTTGCCCCACATTTCTTTTTTCGGTCAGATTCAGTAGCATTTTATTTGTAAAGTTGCAAAAATATGAGTATTACAGTGTTTTAAAGATCATCTTACAGCATTTGCGCATACAATTTTGTATCATAATATAAGTCATAGCGCTAAAAAAGAATTCGTTTATATAATTCGTTGATAAAATTAATTTCAATGAGGCACGCTCTGATTGCCTTAAAAAGCTTGCCTATCAGCCTGCAAAGTACACAAAGTTATAAAATAACAGATTTTTTTTTTATCTAAGCCGCTTTCTCTAAGCATTTCAGTGAAACTGAAAAACTTAGAGAAAACGACTCGCTCGCAGTAAGAACTCAGAGGACATCAAGCTAACTGTACACAATCTGCAAGTTGTGCTTGAACTGCTGACACCAGAGGAAATGTGAAAACAACAAGAATCAGAATGTTTATTTTCCCTCACTATCCCATACAAAAAACAGACAACAGTCGGGCTCCCTCTCTGTTAATATAATTATGAGTAAACCTTTGCAAGATAACCTGTTTGTAGAAAAACACTAGTTAAAGTCAGAATTCCCGACAAATTTCCACTCTACATAGTTCATCGGTAGATATTGATTCATTACAACTGTCTTTATCAAAACTTAAATTAAATGGATAGGAATGGTATGAATAAGCCGTACTTTGTCGATTCAGGTTGTGCGATATAAAATGTTAACTTCCTTACTCGACATTACTTCGGAGAAAACTTCAACTTCACATAGGCTCAAAGTTTTTGATGATCCAAGTAATCTAATGAATAAATACTTGCCATACAGTGACGTGTTACTGCGAAAAAACTTCCCCATTGTACCATTATTTCTTAAACCACTGACGCAAAGGCTATTATTTGCTCCTCCACTTGTAGTTTCATTTCCTGAAAGTACAAAGTAATCGACAATGATTAGCTTAAGTATAAAAATTCTTCTTGCAGGCCCGGAAATGTTAAGTTTCCTACCTATTCTAATACATGGTTTTTATTCTGAACCTGCCTCCTTCCTTTTAATCTCTTTGGTTACAATGAGTAGCCTTTGAAGTATTTTGATGCGTGAAGTTTAAATGAACTGGTTTCCACGTGATGCACAAGGAGAGTTATATGAATAACTTGGCTGAATAGTAAGTACTCGAATTAAAATCATAATTTTGTGGGACTTACGTCTAGTATTCCCCCACCCCTCCTCGA